GCTCTGATTGGGTAAAACTATGACTATGACTCACGTTATTTGTTGAAAACCACGTCAGCTTACAGTAATCCTGAGTTATCTACCGCAACAAAAATTTTTTTCTTTTTTTTTTTTTACAGATGATGAAAATCAGTTGTTTGAATAGAGAACTTCAATCCCCAAAAAATCCTTCAAGGACTTTCAAGTATATGTGTAATTTTTGGCTGTTTTCACAAACTTTCCAGGGCCTAGAAATCATTTTTTCAAATTCACAAACTTTCAAGGATTTCAAGGACCCGTGGGAACCCTGCAGTGCTTACAGTAATAATGATATTTGCTTTGATAGAGCAAATACAGACTGAGTTTTTAATGTATTTTTTGACCAGACTGACATTTCGGGGGAATCTAAAAAGGACCATGTTTGGTGGGATTCTGGCAGCTGTTTTTCTCTTGCTTTTTCTCTGGCCAGTGAGTACATGTATTGTTTTTTATCCAAGCTAGCAGGCTTTAATTTGCACTAAGATTTTAAAACAGTAAGATTATTCCTCTCAGCTGACTTGGGTAATTGTAGGTTTTTGAGCCAAATTCTAGATCAACATTTTTCCCATATAAAATCAGTAATGGTTTTCTCTAGTTTATTAAAGGTTCATTTGGGGGTTTGTACTGATAGCATGTGAAATATAGTAGTCTGGATAAAACATTCATATGCATACTTTCAGTGCAGCCTAGCAAAGATAAGGGCAACAGATAAGGTTTTTGACATCTTGTATATGAAGTTGCAGTTGTTACCTTCAGACATGTAGCAAGGTCCAATGGTGTGTGTCCTCCTGCAGGTCTCTTACGAGCTTTGATTGGCTGAGAGGTGGCGTCCCGCTCTGTGAGCTTCTGTGTTGGTTCGTTTTCTTCATCAGAGGAAGAGCTGAAGAAAAGTGGCTCATCGTTCTCCATACTCTTATCAGCTCCTGGAAAAACATTGATCAACTTCAGACACATGAGGAAAGAGACAAACTGGCAGCTTTCAGCCAAAATGGCCGACTTCCTGTGGGGTTTTGGACCATAGACATCCATAGATGCCCTATTGGAAGCTGAACGGCATAACCATGACGCCGCCATATTGGAGGTGGCAGAGAGGATAACACAAAATGCCTCGTAGTTGTGTGCTGTGGTCCGCTTGCACACCCGACTCGTGTGTGATTAATACAGATTTTTTGCAAAAATACTGATTAGTGATGCTCATTATACACGTAACCATCTGAAGGGGTTGACTTGTGGACTCTGAAGTCCCGGGCCGGTCGGGGCCGCGGGGTGCGTAAAGAGGTGCTGCGGCTGCGGTCAAACTGCCTCTGAGCCCTCGCTTTAAAAACAGATCTGTCGCGGTTTTGTTGTGCTCGTAAACACACGGTGTTACAGGAGAAATGCTGCGAGGTGTTTTTAGGAATATAATTTATTTAAAATACGACGTAATCCTCGATGGAAAACAGCTCAGGTGAACACCTCCCGGGAAAACCCTGACCCCCCACCCACAGAGAAAGAAAAAAGGCAGCGCTGTCAGTCAGACAGCAGGACCCGCCCTGCTCTGTTCTGATTGGGTAAAACTTTGACTGTGCTTCTCTTTATTGGGTGAAAGAACCGTCAGTTTAATCCCTAGACGGCTTTAACAAGTTTTTATTCTGCTGTTCATGTTTACAATGATGAACACCTGCAGCTTTTTTCTTGGTTGTCCACCAGACAACTGGGAGGTGGCATCTGGTTGTCCGAAACGAAAATAGGTCGTCTCGGACAACCCCTGTAATACATATATATACATATATATAAAGTTTTACTAGAATACAAGTCATAGTAATGAGGATTAAGTCATAATGTTATCATAGCAGAGTCAGAATAAAATGTGTGTAAATGGGTAAGTGGATCTCCACCTGAACTCATTTAAGTGGAAATGAAATCCAATAATTATTTATAGAGTTATCATAAAAGTGAAACTGTTACATGAAAAGTTGGTTCTGGTCTTGGCGGATCAGAGGAACCATGTAAACCACTGGTTCTGAGTTATGTTAAGACGTCATGCGTCATGCTAAATGTGGCCTGCTGGATTGTGAGTTGCTGACTCATGTCTTACCTGCAGCAATGAGCATGGCACAGAAAGTTGGGGAGCCAAGACTGGATGCAAGGTGTAGTGGTGTGTTTCCTCCAAACGTGCAGGCGTTAACATCGGCCTTCAGCTGCACAACACACAAACCTGGTGAACTGTGTGGACCAGGTGAGAACAGACCCCGCCCCCTTCGGCTTTAATCATTATTACCTCTGTGATGAGCATGCAGGCCACCTTGAACAGGTTTTCTCTGACAGCCAGGTGAAGTGCTGTGTGCCCACTCTTCTGCTCTGGGGCATTGATTTTGGCTCCGCCTTCCACCAGCAAGCGGAGACAGCGCTCTCCGTCCCTCCTCACAGCCAGGTGGAGCGGCTGAAGACCTGCAGGACACCAACAGTTTGTTACCTGAAACCAGACCGGAGCTGCACAGGTGACCTGGCACAGTCCTTTACCGTGATAATCTGACGTGTTGACCAGGTGGGTGTGGCGTTCTCCCAGGTGTGTCAACAAGAGACGCAGCATCTCAGTGTCGCCATTCAGTGTCGCCAGGTGGAGGGGGCTGCGTCCATCTTTGTCCACCAGGCTGGGGTCGGCCCCCGCCCTCAACAACAGCTCCGCCACCTTCGGCTGCCGCGTGATCACCGCCAGGTGGAGGGGGGTCTAACGGGGTGGGATCAGAAGGGAGGTGAGAGGTGCTCACATGACACGCAGTTGTGTTGTCTACAGGTGTGGACACAAGTGTCTCTGCCACAAACACAACCGACTGGTTTCTCTCCTGTCATGGCTCCTGAGTCTGGGTTCTAAGGCAGAACCTCAGCTTTAAGTTCTCATTAAGTTGTCTGACCTTTGACTTCAGGGGTCAAACTTCAACTTGTCAGAATTAAAAATCTGATCAACGTCCAACAGTTTTCTTTTCCTCCAATATTTTATTAAGTAAATAAAAAATAAATTCCTTAGTTTTTTTTATTTTCTATGTCTAACTGTTCATGCAGAAG